GAGGGTGAGCTATCCCCGCGGTGTCAGACACCAACGCCGAAGTCGACGCGACACGAGCCTGCCGTGCAGAGTCCGTGTCCCCGCCGACCCAACCGTAGAGCCGACGGTCGGCGGTGAGCGAGGGGGGCCTACCGCCGACGGCGAGCGAGCAGCCGGCGCAGGGGTGATCGGCTTTCTGCATTGGCGCGCGCTGGAGGTGCGGAAGAGTTGGGAGCAGCGTGCTGTGGACGGGTCGGGAATTCTTGACGCTTCGCGTATCCCCACCAGCCCATCCTACACCAGGCACTCGAACGAAGAGCGCCGACTTGGACGCTCTGACCGCTCCCCGCCCCTCCTGTCCAGGTCAGTGGGGAGGGGGTAGGGGGAGGGGGGTCCTAGGGGTAGGGGGTGTCGGAGCGTGGAGGAAAGATTGGTCTACTCTGTAAGAACGGTTTTTTGAGGGCAGATCTGCCTTCAAAAAACGGTCTACTCTGTAAGAACGGTTTTTTGAAGGCAGATCTGCCTTCAAAAAACGGTCTACTCTGTAAGAACGGTTTTTTGAAGGCAGATCTGCCTTCAAAACACCGTTCTTTTTGAAGGCAGATCTGCCTTCAAAAAACCGTTCTTTTTTGAAGGCAGATCTGCCTTCAAAAAACCGTTCTTTTTTGAAGGCAGATCTGCCTTCAAAAAACCGTTCTTACAGAGTGGATGGGTCGGGAATTATGACTCACTCTCGCAGTGGCAGGATAACGCGAGCGGCCTGCGCGAGCTGCGGGGGCACTGAGAAGGCGACGTATCATCAAAACAGTGAATTCCAGCTGTTCTGCCAGCCTCTCGAAGCCGCAGGGACATAAATGTTCGTCACCAGGCGAGGTGAGCTAATGAGGGATGCAGTTCACACAGTTGATGTGCGCTCCGTCGTCGGTCATCGCGAAGACTACATCGGCGCACCACTGAATGCCAATCTGACACACAGGGCCACAGCCAGAGCTACACCGAGCAGGACAGCCAAAACAACACCGAGCGTGGCTACCCAGCAGTAGTCACTAAAGAGCTGCGCGAAGTACATTTTCCGATGGTACCGCGCCGCGGAATCTAAGATGATATTTGTCCTGTCAAAAGTTGGCCTGGACTTGATCAAGGCAGTCTGTGACATGTCGTGAGTGTAACCCTTGGGAGAATTCCGGAAGCGCATGTATGCCATCAGGCAGCCTCCCATGCCAGTTCAACGAAGGAACCGAATGCGACTTGATCTGTTACAAACAGCATATCGTAGTTTGATCCCTGCGTTCGATGTGCAACTGGACAACATGTGCCCGACCAAACGGTGCACAATATTCTGGGCGCCCACCATCCGTGCTGGACGCAACGTGGACCTGCCAAGGTCCTGTATTCAGATGGTGAAGGAGCCTTGGAGATCCCCAAGGCTATCCTGATATCAAAGCGCACTGCACTCCGTATATGGGCGCGTGGCCGCCACGCGACTACCGTCGAAGCGGGAGGGCGTTCTTCGACGTACGACTCACGTCATGGAGGAATAAGTTTTCAGGGCATCGGATACATTTTGTGTTCACGCGGTTACTGCGCGAAGCCGCATTAGTGAGCAGCGAGTTCACGTGCTACAAGGGTCTATCGCCCTGCTGGTCTCTTCGGGGTGACAGCCCGAATGTGTGCTAGATATGCAAACTATCAACCACGAGCGGTGTCGAGACACTTCAGATCGTCGAGGTGAGCAACGGGTCAGGGAAATCAGCGTTGAGGCTATCACGCAACCCCCTGCAGTAGCTGAAGCCATCCGTGCGTTACGCGCGGAGACTACAACACCCGGTCAAGATGTATGAGCCAGGACATATCGCGGATTATTACCGGCCGACCACAACACAGGGCGATTGGGGTGGCTGGGGCGGTCCATGCCGAGTCGAGTGAATGGCCCCGAACGGGCTAATTTCTGGTGCCGGCCGGGGGAAGAGACGTCATTTGGGCGACGAGATCTATACACATCCACTGCTCCTTGGCCAGGCCCATCCTGAAACCAGCAGCTGTGTATCCGCCCTCCTGGCCAAGCCAGGAGCGCGTGGCGTATACACCGCTGGTGGGTTCAGGATAGGCCTGGCCAGGGAGCAGTGGATATGTATAGATCTCGTCGCCCTACGTCTTGGTGCAGTGCCCAGATGTGCGACGCACGTTAGACGCGAAAAACACTTCCCGCCCGCGAGGGCGGCCCCGATATAGTGCGGCCGCGCGGGCAGTGCTGGCCTGTGTGGCAGCCTTACCTGCGGGAAAGCCCGCTATTCAGGAGAAGAAAAAACACACAGACACAATTAATCGTCGATTCCCCAGAAAGTATGAGAAAATATGGGCAGTGGGGGGGAAGACGAAAATCCAAAAGATATGGGAAAATCTGTTTTTTTTTTATTTGTGTGTATTTATTTGTGTGTTCTGGGGCCCCTTCAGCTATGGCGTTCAGCTGCTTGCCATTGAAGCAGGGATGCCCGCGGCCGACGACCGCAAGCGATCGCCACATATCCACGCGGCATTCCAACGCCTCGTGAGAATCTGTCTCCGAATCGATAGCGCAGTCAACGTGGGAGGGGCGAGCGACTTCCAACGACTCTCTGAAGATAATTGCGCGGAGCTGCGCGTTGAAATTTGACCCCAAGATTCCACTGCTACGAATCCAACGACAGAGCCTTGAATCTGTGTGACATCCCTTGCGCGTCGCGCGCACGGGTGACCCACTGCCCCAACTCTTCGAGACGGATGGCGGTCTTCGGTCAGGATCTGTCCAGTGTCGAAGAGTTGGCGGATGCGCCGCCACCGTCGCGCGGCCGCGCTCGGGAGAGTGCCCAACCGCCCCCCGCCATTCCAACGATAGTCGCTCACCCGCCATCAGCGAGGAGCCTGGAGGCGACCTCGAGGCGCACATCATGAACACATGGTATGCCGGAGTACTGGAATACCAGCAACTTCCGGAGGCCATTATAGTACAGGACGAATCTTCGGCATCCACTCACATCATCACCGACAACTGTGTGTGGGCGGTCGTCGCCAGCGAAATGCAGCGCCACCTGCAGCGCTGGGTAACCTGCGGTAGGACGCTGGAGAAACATAATAGTTTCCTCGATTCCCAGCTAGGCCTGATGCCACCAACGGGCTTCACTCCGACGATCACGGACATTATGTCGAACTGTGCTTTGCGGCAGACATGTCTAATATCTCACTGACAGAACAGCAGCAATTACTAGGCGACAGTTGCGCCATTGCGATGCGAGTATACGTGGCATCGTTCTCCGAGGGGGTTGTCGTCGTTTAAGGGGGCGACATTCTCGCGAAAACCGAGATCCAAGCGACCCCGGTCAATGTATCCAAGGCGTTGCGCACAAATCTAAAGATGTTGTTTTACAGCACGTGCTTCCATATGCAGAAGATAACGCGTCAAACGTGATGGTTTCAAGACATGTGCGCAACTTGAACATCCGCCGAGAACGAACGAGGGGAGATGGAACGCACCATTCGACGCTGCAGCGTGTTGCTGGAATTCATGGACCTCAGGACACTCGACGTGGAAACTTGTCTGGGGACAGCCAGGTGACCGAGCCAGATGCTACTCGCCAGCGCGGCAGCGTGCAAGAAGCAATGGGTCATAGTATCCATGGGCGTCGGCAAATCAGGTCTCAGGGGGCGCACGTGCCGCGAGGTGGCCGAGGCATCCGGCGAGAAAGAACGGACGATCTGCTCTGCCTTTGCACCATGTTCAGCTACCGTCCTGAGGTCGCTCCTCGGCTTCGCGTCGTATGACGAACCGTAGCGTTGCTTACAGTGCCTCGAACCAGGTAACCTCTAACTTTGTTTTTTTGGTCTCCCTTTAGTTCTTTCGGCGGTGAGTAGGACTGGTCATAACACTGAAGCCTTCTCCTCCTCCTCCTGCTCCTCCTCCTCCACGTCCTCCCCCTCCTGCCCACCTCTTCCTCCTCCTGCTCCTCCTCCTCCACGTCCTCCCCCTCCTTCCTTTCGACGCTCTCTTCGACTGTCCTGGCGCTCCGTCTGGGCCCTCTTGCGCCGTCGTGCGGTTTTTTGGCACTCCAGAGGCCGCGGGGTTCGTTTGGGAGCTCGTCGCCCCCCCCCCCCTCCCCCACCCAACGGCATCTCGGGCCCCAGGGGAGGGCGAAAAGGGGGAGGGGAGACGGCCAACTATTTCACGCGCCTTTTCATCCCCGGCAAGCGGGTGTCGGCGGATTCCAATCTACAGGCGGCCCGGATTAGTAGGTCGACCCTGCCAGCTCAGGGGTACCCTCTTGTCCCGTGTCTTGCGACCCATGCCTCCTGCCTTTTTCTTTGTGGCAGCGTGGCCCTCGGAAGGGCCTTTTGCCCTCTCGCGTGCCCCGTCCAGTGAAGACCGGCTGTATCTCACGCGCCCTTTCACCCTCGGCAGGCGGGGGGGTCGGCGGCTTCCAATCTCACCACCCACCAAACCACCCCAACCCAACCCGAAGGCCTCAATTTGCCCTCCATTTCCAGTTGGGGGGGGTAGGGGAACACTGAAAAAACACATATGGAGCCCGTACCCCCCCCAACCCGAAATTCGGGTCTTCGGGTTGGGTTGGGGTGGTCTGGTAGGTAGTCACAATCTGCATCAGGCGCCGTCCTGTGTCAAGGATCGGGTCGCTTTCCTCTTTCCTTCGCCTTCAGCGGGCGGCCGGAGACCAACTCCCTTCTCCATGCCTTCTTGCTTCATGTTCTACCCTTCAGTCGGGCGTGTCCCTCTGCAGGGGGAATAGACAGAAATAGTTCAGAGATAGTCTTGGGATGTTTTTTCTTCACGTTTTGTCGACTATGTTTTCGCTCGCCCAAAATCCGCCTGTAGGGGGACATGCCCGACCTAATTCTACCCGCCTCTTCCGACCGTCGTTGTGGTTGGCGGCTCGTCTTCGTGCTGCTAGCAGCCGCCAGAGCCCGCAGTTGCTCCTGCTCAAGTGCTTCCAGCCTCCGGCGATCCTATCGCGTTCGCCCGGCTGCGCGCGATGGCGGGGCAGGTGAGGTCGGAGTCTGGCTGTCTCCCGTGTGCCCACTTGTTCGTTTCATGTCCCAACCTCCCCGTCCTGCGTATACACGTACCTTTCACCAATGCTGGTCAGCAACCCAATCTTGGGCTTAAAATGGAAGGATGGGTCTAGTCCGGATCGGTATAGGTGTACAAGTTGTGTCCTCTTATCCTCTGGGCATCTTTTTCTTTTACTTCCCCCATGTGCAGGTACCAACTGCTGCGTCACTGTCCCACAGGACAAGATCTACGCTGTTGAGTGGTTCGGTAGCTTCAGCAAGGTGATCGGCTCTGGACTTCACTGCGTCGGTTTCGACCTGGGCAGCTGCTGCGTCAGCTTCCGCTCTATTACTAAGAGAGTAGAGCAGAATGACGTGATGGTGGAGACAAAGACAAAGGACAACGTCTTCGTACTGGTGAAAGTGTCTGTTCAGCAGACGGTGATCCCAGACCAAGCGGAGTCTGCAATCTACAAACTTGCCAATGTTAGCGCCCAGATCGATTCATACGTCTCCGACGTGGTCCGCTCCCACGTGCCCAAGATGAACTTGGACGAGGCCTTCGAGAACAAGGACGCGATCTCTACGGCTGTCCAGGACACCCTGACGAGGAGCATGTTCGAGTATGGCTTTCAGATCATTAAGGCCTTGGTCACCGAGCTCAAGCCGAGCCAGGACGTCATGAACTCGATGAACGAGATCAACAAGCAGAAGCGCCTCCGGGACGCGGCGCTCATGGCCTCCGAGGCCGAGAAGATCAAGGTGGTGAAGAAGGCGGAAGCGGACTGCGAGGCGCGGCCTGTTCTCGGCCCCGCTCGGCTCCCCGAGCCGTTCGGATGCCCGCGCGGGACACCCGTCGGTCGGTTCCTGGGCCGACGTCGCGGTCCCAGACATGGCGCGCGCCGAACAACACCACGTGGTCGTTTTTGATACACTGTTTTGCCGATCGGCGCTGGCCCTCGCCCCCCCCCCCCCCCCCGAAAGGTGCAGGTCTTGGCCATTTTTGGCGCCTGTTTCAAGCAGGCGGGGTCTTCCCCATGGGACGCAGCATTGCAAACGGTCGCGCTGAGCAGAGGTCCAGGGCCCTCCCGCCCCTCCCCCCCCCCTTCCGCCCCATGTCGAGACGCAGAAGAAGGAAGCGCTCACCGTCACGACGCTAGGCCTGTTGGGCCTCTTTCGGCCTCCTGGGGCCCCCGCTTGGCCCTGGGGCCGTGAGGAGACGACTCGCGAGGGGACGCCGACCCTATCGGGCCGGGGACCGCGTAGTGGCGACTACAATCGGTGCGGTTGCGCCGCGCTGCGGTTTGCGAGTTGCTTTGTGGCGGCCTTTCCGGGGCCTTTCTGAGAGACAATGTCAGAATTGTCGTCGTTTCGAATGACGCTGTCATCATCGATGTGTGCTCCAGTGTACTAGAGAGGGAGCGACAGTGTCATGGGATTCGGTCGCTTTGAGTGACAGTGCCATCCGTTTCCCGGGGGCGGGAGGGGCAGATATGACGGGAGGCAAACCGCACCCTTCGCAAATCGCACCCATGGTAGTTGATGACCTCGCATGTCTGAGATGTCGTGAATCTTGTTTTTGCCCCCCAAGGCAAGGCGCACATCGACCCTGGACCCGATTCGTTGTCGGTCTCGGCTGGTCAGATCCGATTCGGTTCCGATATTCTGGCGATCCGATGCCTCCATGCCGATGCGGCCCAATTCGAGGCCCGTTCGATCCGATCCGATTTCCCGATTCGAGGTCGACCGTTCTTGAGCAGTGCTCGTGCCGATGCAGCCGATTCTGACTCCGGCGCTTCGGTCCGATCCGATTTCCCGATGCGAGGTGGACCCTTCGTGGAGCAGTGCTTGCACTATTTGATGCTTTGAAGGCCAGACGTCCGGCCGGAAGGAAATTCGAAGAGGCAAAAAAGAAAAGTGCTTGCACTCTTTGGGCTTCCTATGTTGCCCAAGTGCTGCTGGGGTTTTTCGCTGGGTGCTTAGAGTTCGCGGCCGCTGGCGGGCGCCTCGTGGGCGCCCCCATGCGCTATGGGTGGGTCCGTGGCAGCGCAGACTGCACCACACACCGCGCACCCCATAGCTTCTCCTCCTCCTGCTCCTCCTTCTCCTCCCTCCTCCTCTTCTTCCTCCTCCTCCTCCTCCTCCTCTTCCTTCTCCCCCTCCTCCTCCTCCTCCTTCTCCTGCTCCTCCTCCTCCTCCTCCTGCTCCTCCTCCTCCTCCTTCTGCTCCTCACGTAGCTTGTATCACACGCCTTTCGCCAAGCAGCTTGCAGCGCACAGCTTCCACAGCACAGCTGGCACCACACATGCTCTGTGTTGCATGCAGTAGTCTGCATCACATCGTTTGAGCCATCTGGCATGCGGCCACGCAGCTAGCAACACGTAGTCTGCACCTTACACAGGAGGCATCGCATGTCTTGCACCACATCGATTGCACACCGATGGTGCAGCAGCCCACTGTTTGGGGTCCGCGCTTGAGCCCGTTGGTTTCTTTGAATTGAAGCCCTTGGAGGCTTGTTTCAGGCCCCACGGCCGGCAACAACGATCGACGACAACTTTTCAGAGGGGTCGAGGGCTCCCACAGCCCATTGATGGAGCACACCAAGACATCGGAGGTCTGGGATTGCTCACCCCCAAGGGCCACCCCCGTCATCCAAGTATAAGGCTCGATGTGATCGATTAGACTGCAAGTGGTTCTGCGATCGATTGCAGGTTCGGACACTTCTGAAATCATCCGCCCCCCCCGACATTCTCCTCTATCCGAAGGCCGCCAGAAGCATCCGAAACCTCCGAAACCATCCGAATGCATCCGGAAGCATAAGGGGGAGCGCCACCACGTCCGAGAATGTCCGGAAACACGGAACCGCCGCCCACCGAGGCCGCGAGACTGCAGGGAGAGGGCATCGCGAAGCAGCGCGAGGCGATCGTGGAGGGCCTGAAGCGCTCCGTCACCAGCGGGACCAGCGAGCAGTTGGGCAGCGATAAGATCTCTGAGTTGCTGCTCATCACTCAGTACTTCGAGACCCTGAAGGAGATCTGATCCCAGACCTCCAACGTGGTTCTTTCCATGCAGCTTTTTTTGCCCACGCCCTGGGACTGTTTCAAGTCTCCACGACAATGAAACACACGATCCGCGATGGAAAACCGATCCCGTGCAGGGGGTCAAGAGCTCAGGGGTTTCATGGATGGGGGAAGTCAGGACATCGGAGCGCCAGATTGGGAATGGCCAGGGGCCCATCAATACCAAAACAGGGACCCACCAATACCAAAACCGCGGCTCCCTTCGTGGGGGGGGGGGCGGCGACGCTGGGGTGGGCCGCCTGCTTACCTGGGGGGTGCTGCCAGGAGCCAGGGTCCCGCCAGTGCTTCTCGAATGCATCTGGGTTTTAACGGCCCTAGAGGGTGAACACACACAAAGCGGGCCATCCTGCCCCGCCTCCCACCCCTCCTTGTCCTGCTGCTTCCCCCGCAGGAGACCGGGGGCACGCCCGAGATGCGAAGCCGTGCGAAAGCCGACCAACCACGTCCGAACGCCCCCGAACGCTCCAGGAGCCTCCGAGATCGGCTGGAAGCCTTTAGAAAAGACCTCTCCAGGACTCGAGAGACGGGGGTCAGTGAAAATGGGGGTCAGTCAAAGCGCCCGATATTGCCGGATTCTGCAGGGCCAGGGGCGCACTGACCTGGGTCTGGGTGCAGGATCCTGCAAAGCCCGACTGGCCCGGGTCTGGATTGACCAGGGTCAGTAGATCCCCGACCTCTCAGAGGAGGAAGCGGTACCGATACGGACGGGCTTCCTGGGAGGCCCTCGCCGCTTCCGCTGGAGTCGCCTCGAAATTCCGGTCAGAGCGCACCCCAAGGAGAGGTCTAGGGAGTAGCGGTATGGGCACCCCTGTTTTCCCATGCTCGTCTGCTGCCTTGGCGGCGTCCACGCCGCGGGTGTCGCGAGGGGGGTGGGCGGGGCGGCGGGGCTTTTGGGAGGGCAGGGGGTCTTCTCAGAAGCCCGCCTGGCCTCGCAGGCGCCTTCTCGCAAGCCTCCTGTGGTGGGCCTGTTTTACACCACCACCATGGGTTGGAGGGGGGAAGGGCAAGTGTGGAAGGACGAGGGGAGGAGGACGAGGGAGGAGGAGGAGGAGGAGGAGGTGGAGGAGGAGGTGGATCCTGCTTCCCCCTCCAACTTATGGTTGTGAGTGGTGGAAAACAGGCCCATTCATCCTGGGCCTCCTATAGGAAGGCACGCTGCCTCGAGAAGCCCCCCCGCCCCCCCGCCGCACTCTTCGGAGGCGGCCCCCTAGCGCCCACCCCTCGTGGCGCCAGAAGCTGATCGCGGCTCTCCCTGGAGGAGATCGGGGCGAACTCGAAGTCCAACTCGGCCTCCTCCCTCTCCTACTACTGTCGCCCGAACGTCTCCCTCCTCCTCCTCCTCCTCTCTTTCTCCCTCCTCTCCCTCCTCCTCCTCCTCCTCCTCCTCCTCCTCCTCCTCCTCGGTCTTCATCCCGCACAGCCCAGCGGACGGCGTCCGCGACATCTCCAGCCAGGCGCGCCGTGGTCGTGGAGCCAATCCCTCTCGGTGGGGGGCCAGGAGAGGCCAGCGGCAGCCAGCAAGCGAGGTCCACCCATTCAGGCGGTCGCAGAACTGGATCAAGGGGCCGTTTCCATTGGAAATCGCGGATTCCCGCCGCCGAGCGAGGCGGCACCGGCCGCACTTTGGCGAGGGCACCTCCCCCGATTCATGAATGTGGCGACCGCGCGCCAAGTCCATGGACCGCTGATCCATGTTGGTGCGCCCCGAACCCATCCAGAGAACAGGCGGACCCAGCTCTCTGACGATCTGTTTTCCTTCTTGGCCGGGCAGTCTCCCCGTCGTCCTCAATCTCGGCTTTGGGGGGGGGGGCGGCGTCTCCGAGCCCACGGGGCCATGCAGGAGTGGAGCCGGGGCGGGACACGGGGTCCGGGGAGGTGGTCGGGACCTCTGAGGCCGCGCACCGGGTCAGTCACGCCGTCGGATGTGTGGGGGCATCGCCCCGCGGGTGATTCAGGATCTCGGCCGCCGCGCGAGGCTCCGCTCCGTTCCGCCGTGCGCAGGTTTTTTTGTTTTGTTATCCAAAGCGTCCTGTGGTAATGGGTCCTCGTTTTGAATCCGCAGCGCCCCGCTCCTCCCCCCTCCCTACTGCCTCTGCCCTCCGCTTGTCCATGCTTCGGCCCCCCCCCACACAGTTCGTGCCTGCATACAAGCTCCACCGACGGCCCGACTGGCAGGGCTCGTATGCGTGACCACGCCCATTCGGTCGCACCCCTCGGGCTTCCGCAGAAGGCGCAATTGGCAGGGCTCGCATGCCTGACCACGCCCATTCTGGCACACATCCCTTACACGTTTCGTGGCCCCATACAAGCTCCGGACGAAGGCCCCAATGTGATTATGTCTGGCTTGCCTCGCAGCTGAGATGATCTAGTCGGTATTGAGTATCAACCCAGACTGTACACCCCATCTTTCATATCGCAGCTTGAGTGTTCCAATCATGGCGTTGCACAGCAACGCGCAGAAGGCGTGTCTTTGCAATCATGTTTTTTTACGCTTCCGTACGCGTTGGTCGTCGGATTTGCAAACGCTTTTTCCTCAACATTTGTAGTTCGTGATGATCCGGGGATCATCAGACATGCGATCATTTCTATTGCAAGTCGACTACTTCACTAGGACGCCCACCGCGACGCAAAGCTAACCGTGCTTCGCATTCCGCGGTTTGGGCTTGGGCCGTTTTCCCCTCAAGTGTTGGGGTCTAAGAGGCCGTTAGAAGTTAAATTGGAGGGAGTCATCGAGACGTCATGTGCACATACGTAGAAACGCATAGTATTCATTGAAACGTTGAGCACGTATCCACATGTATATACATATTTATTTGTATGTGCTTTCATCTGGTACGTGGGACATCTCAGCCAATTGCGACTTCACGATCTACTATGAACACTCGCGCAGTATGGGGAAGTCTGACCAGTGTGCCCAAGGAGGCACTTACGAACAAAAAGGCACTGCACTGTTCGCACCTTATGCTGGTCGCACTAGCCGATGTGTTTCTCTCGCGCTCTGTGGGTTCACACTTGTTTCACGCTCCCAAGTCTACTCCAAAGAAGCACTTGACCTCAACAGTCTGCCTCCCGCTGGAACCTCAGGTCAAGTGAGTCGGCGTGAGAGCCTGCAGCACAGTTGAAGGTCGGCGACCCAGTTAGTGAGCTTCTGACAGTTTTCATGGTTTGGCTGTTCGGCTGCCGCTGGACCCCTCCGGGGGGGAGCCGATCGACCACGGCGGCCAGATCCGCAACGGCATCATGCAGGGCGGCGCGCCAGGGCAGCAGCGCATGTGAGTCGAGGCAGCCAGCACCTTGCCCGCATCCTTTGGCCTCCTCCGAGCAAAGCCACGCGACGCCCGGGCCAGTCCCTGAGATCCGGGCGTGCCATTTTTTGTGCCTTGGCGTTTTTGCTTTGTTTCGAGCCCCCAGACCCTCACGACTCAAATAACACACTAGCTATACTAGCAAATAACACACTAGCAAGCACACTGGCGAGGGGATTCCAGTACAGCTGGATCCAGCCTTAGTAGCGTTCGGTTAGACCTGCATCGAGCCTTTGTAGGATTCTATTATAGCTGGATGCGCCCAGTAAGATCCTGTTAGGCCGGATCGACCCCTCTTAGGATTGGTTCAGCTGTATCCCGACCATGTAAGCTCTTTTGAGAGCTTGATCGAGCACTGGTAGGATCCTAGTAGAGCTGGACCTAGCCCATAGTAGGATTGTATTCTAAATTGATCAAGTCCTAGTAGGACTCTATTCGTGCTGGACCCAGCCCTAGCAGCAGGATTCGACTCGAGCTGGATGTAGCCTCTGTAGGATCCTAGTAGAGCTTGATCGAGCCTCGGTGTGTTGATAAGAGCTGGCTCTGGCCCTGCTGGCAGGATTTGATTGGATCCAGTTCGACCCCCCGTCCCGCTTCGAGCCAGGGGGGGGGGGGGCGGGTTCTGCACCCCCCTCCCAGGTTCCAGCGAGGGGGGGGGGGGGCTCCCCCCCCTTCCCCGGTTCCGAAGGAAGGGGCGGGGGATTTTTTTACCCCCTTCCCACCTTCGCTGGTTCCTGTGAAGGGGGGGGAGTTTTCCAGTCGAGTGGAGATGATTTCCCTGAAACGGTTCTTGAACATTTCTGGTGCTTTCAGCTTTCAAGACAGTGTTTCTTTATTGCTTGGTGCATGGCGGGCGTCATGGCCCCAGCCCCCTTGCCCTATGACGTAACGCCCCCCGCCCCCCCTAGGAATTAGCATGGGAGTCTGGTTCGCAGTCGTCGTCGTCGTCGT